TTGTCTTTCCGTATGAACGACACAACTTTTAAAACGCGAAACGATGCCTACAACACTAAAACGAAAGTTCGCGTGAGTTTTCAGTTGACACAATGAGTAAGAACCAACGCAGCATACAGCTGAGAGCTCCGCATACAAATGCCATCAGCAGTGAAGCGAACATACGTGAAAAGTGCCACCAGGTACATCCGGCGATGCACACGATTCGCACCGAGTATACACTACCGCTGGGCATCGCACAGCTTTTCTTAAAAAAAAAACACGCAAAAGAAGCAGCACTCGTGCACTGACTCGCCGCCGGCCGAGAACACCGCTTCCAAGGTCGCTGCGGCGGCTGCTCGCCGGAAATCGCGAAGTGTTTATCTGCTTCTCCGCTAGGAGGTAGTGCGGGTGTTTGCACTTACAGGAGCAAATATTCGTCACAGGATGAGACATGTATTGGATGTGGCATAAATAAAGAAACAATCGACCACATAGTCATGGAATGCCAAAAGATTCAGCCGGATAGAAATTGGGGGAAAGTCACACTTCCTGAGGCGCTGGGCTTCGCGGTTGATGGAAGCATTAACTGGTCAGCAGTAGGTATTACTAAGCAGCGGCTGGAGTATTGGTGGAGGAAAAGCAGAGAAGTCGATAAAATAACATCCCAGCCAAGAGTAGCGGCTGGGCAAAATTAAAAAAGACATCCGAGTTGAGGGACAAAATTTAAACTCGAACTATTAAGGTAGGCTAGATGGCGCATGCCGTCACCCCGATTCAAAGGGGAGGCCTTTAATCATCATCATCATCATCATCATCATCATGCGGCGGCTTCACAAATATGACGTCATGGTCTCTCCTATACACGGAGGAAGGAAAAGGTAAGGAGAGGCCCTGATGTCACTCGTTGTGAAGCCGCGATGAAGCCGGAAGTCGGCCATATTGAGTAGGCAAATTCTCCTCTCTTGTTTACATATGAATGCGAAGCAGAAGGCAGGACTCCCTCTCCGGCTCGGAAAGCACGTGGGCTGCGCAGCGCGTGTGTCGTGACGATCCGAAACTAATGGAACTGGGCTCATCACTCAGAGCCAGCGGGACACCTTCAGCGAAATCGCTTCATCCGAGTAATAACAAAGAGTAACAGCTCGCTGACAACAAAGCAACTACGAGAGAACGCGCGCTAGATGCACTGACAACGGCGAGTGCTTTCACTTCATTAATTCAGCAACTGTACAGACAACACGATCGGTCGTGCGCCTTCTACGGTTGCATTCCGCCACGCGACTGACGCAGCGTCCTGCCACTGTGTCCGTGTTTCGCGTGAAACTCACCTGCGTCAGCATTCTGCGACCGTGGTGACTTTGAGCACGGTGCTAGTGACAGTTGAACGTGGTTGCTGTTACGTTGAGATTACATGCAATGCTGGTGGAGAGTGTACCAAGCGGAACAGAAAAGGTGTTTTAATACGCACATGCAAGTTGTTACTGTACACACACAACACGAAACTACGTATGTGCACATGGTCCTCACGGCGTCTTGCTGGGCTCAACAGCGTCGTCCGTTGTCACAAGCAGGAGCACTGCTCAACCGTCACTGACCTGCAAGGCGTTCGTCGTCATTCAGCTTCGTCATGGTGCCCAACGCCATTTCGCTGAACACTAACTGCTTCATCCGCGTCATCCGCCGCACGACACATGGATATGCACTTGTTCTAAGCACTGTTGAAACCCCGTGATAGACAAAGAGATTTGTAAACGTTGCTAAGAGTAATGTAGCAGCCAGACGAACACTGCGTAACCAATAACGCGGCGCAGAGCACAGATATTGTCCGCCACGGCTCAGCACGAGACCTGGGGAGGCACACATTCCGCCGCCAGCCGCGGCCGCTCACTGCTAGACCTGCTTCACTGCGCAACACGTAACCATAGCAACGCCGCCATTGTGCCTAGTGAATATGGCCGCCATTATGTCATTTCCGCCTCATTTTTTTACGCCCTGCGCCGGCTGGGCATGCCCTCTCCTTACCTTTTTCCTTCCTCCGTGCTCCTATATTTTTCCTTCCTCCATGAACTGCAGTCACAAAATGGCTGCAACGAATCAGCGAAGACCAGAGGTGACGTCAGCATTTCTTCATATCCAGGCTCATTGTTTTTTTTTTTTACATTGCTCTGGCCCACTGCCGCCAGATACAAAGGAGTACAAAGGAGTGCAGATACAAGCAGACGACGTGTGCATGTGTTTTTCCGTGTGCTTTCTCGTGCTTTTTCTTGCGTGTGGTCATGTGTGGAGGGGTAGCTTGCCTCATGTTTTTTGTCCTTAAGTATGGTTATTTGGGGTGGGCTTGTGTTGCAGATGGTTTTTTTTTTCAGTGGTATGATTCCGCCATGCTGTGTTGCGTCGCTGCGCAACTCAAACGCGAGAAAAGATTTTACTGTGAGGTACCGTATATCTACAGTGTCTGGAAGCATATTATTCATGGCAGAGCACTTTTTTAATTTAATAATCGAGGGCTAAAACATGCCGGTGCCACTGCATGCAGATGACGAAAACAATGAATTCGCCGCGCTCAGTTGGCCCCACTCGCTGGCGGCGATCACCTGATCAGCTGATCACCGCCTGTCTCCAAAGTTGTTCCTGACAGCGATATCCGTACATGACTCTCCGCGTTTGCGACTTCCGGTCGCTCGCATGCAGCCTCTACCAGTGTAAACATCAGTTGCTTTTTAGTCACCAGTCGCAAATGGTCACGCGATGGGTGGTCGTCGCCGGTGTGAACTAACCTTTAGTCTTCACTGTTCCCGTCCACTCCTTTCTTCTTTTGTCCTCTATCTGGGCGCAGATTTATGTTTTCTACCTACAAGCCCCCACCACCACACGGTCCTTGAGGTCATTTCAAGGTGTCTCGCTCACACAAACACACACACACACACACACACAAATGCTATGCCACGCGGCCTAGCAGGAAAGCATTTAAGTTGGATTATGGAGTTGTTAAACTAGCTGTATGTAGTATGTACCGGCTGAGAGCATATGGACTATAATTAGGGCTCAATATGGGAATATATGCATTATGATTCATCCTCACTGTATTTTGTGCTGCTCGTGAGGGCAAAGTATATAGTTGCACGCTGAGAAGCAGCGCTGCCTTTGTGGTCCCTGAACTTGGTTACAACCTAATGATAAAACGTCAGCTGTGCTCACAGCAATCACTCTCTCCACCAGAGAGAAATGCTTCTTTCAATAACGCTTACTCATTTTCGTTACATGAGGCATTTCTGGGGCGATTCAGAGAGTTGACTTTCTCATACAGACACAGGTTGGGGTCGCTGCCTTTAGATCAGAAACTTGGTAAACACTCAGGCAAATTACGTTGGCGACGGACATTATTTCTCAGGCAGACTTTATGCTTTAGGTGGGGACAATGAATCTCTGGCTCTTGGTACACGTAGCCGTGAAAACTCCTTAACGTTTTCAGCGGACACTGACTGGCATGATGATATTTCACAGGAGAAAGGCCGGCGCGAGCAACCTTTTTTTTTTTTCTAATGTTGCAACCGAGTATATTTAAGCATGTCGAGTCGCGGCGCATGCATGCGAGTGCACACGTGCACAGTAGCTCGAAAAAATTAGTTATGAACGTGTCATGACGTTTTCCGCGTTACCTTTCCATGCATATACGCTCTGACCGGTTAGCTTTCACTGGTGTGAAAGAAAATATGTAAAAGAAGAGTTCGTTGTCTGTTTTTTGTTAATGCTACGTTACAAAAAGGGATAGCGTCGCGTCAAAATATGAAGAGATTCACAGCTCTCGAACAAGGCACGCTCAGTCATGAGTGCACGTTCAAAGGGGCCCTGAAACACTTTTTCAAGTAATCATGGAATGGATTCTCTAAAAGAGCTTATTGCCTCGCGAATTCAATGGCCCAAGTATTTAGAAAAACCGTCCAGTACGAGTGGAGGAACAAAGATTTGTCACAAGCTGCAATCGCACTCTCTCTTCTCCCATCCCAATGAAAGCGCTGAAAGCTAAGCAGGGAGCGATGACATGAGCTAAGAAAATACGTCACGGGCACCTCGTGACATGGAGCATTGTTTTTCTTTTTTTTTTCTAGGAGTACGCGAATTTCTCAGTGTGATCACGCGCGCAGACGTGGACAAGTCGCAACCTTACTGGTGATCCCTGCAACGACTGAGCGCGCCATGTTTGAATATATCAGCCAATGGCAAATAGAAGGCCTTCTGAAAGCGATTTTTGGGCGTCTTCTGTCATTTGTCGAGAGAGTAGAACGCCATTTTTTTGTTAACTTTGATAATTTATTTTGAACTCGAAGCTGCGTACTGCGCTATATTACTTGCCTCACGTGTTTTCGGGAGCCTTGCCCCGCCGCGGTGGTCTAGTGGCTAAGGTGCTTGACTGCTGACCTGCAGGTCGCGGGATCGAATCCCGGCTGCGGTGGCTGCATTTCCGATGGAGGCGGAAATGTTGTAGGCCCATGTGCTCAGATTTGGGTGCACGTTAAAGAACCCCGGGTGGTCGAAATTTCTGGAGCCCTCCACTACAGCGTCTCTCATAATCATATGGTGGTTTTGGGACGTTAAACCCCACATATCAATCAAATCTCGGGAGCCTTTACGACCAATAGCCAGTGTTTTCTGACCATACTCAAAAAGTGTTGCAGGGCCCCTACAAGATGAATATATGCTGTGAATGTGTACCACTTCAATTATTGCCGCATTTCATCTGCTTGAATGAACCGTTCTTTTCTTGCAGAGAAAGCTCCGGCCCTGGGATTACCATGCATGTACGAGTTTTGTGACCAGAGTGGCGTATTTTACAGTCAAGGATTTCCGGGCCCTTACCCAAACCAGATGTCCTGCACTTACCGCGTGATTGCGGCGGCTCCCGACAGATGCAGGTGAGTCCGTGTTTTCTCATAACCGTCGTCAAAATGTTTTGATGATTGATAGCTAGTCGTGAGATGTTACCTATTGCTGTATTGTCTCACGAACAAAGGAGGGTAAGTGATGCGGACCCTATCTCTGGCACAAAAAAAAAGAAGTAGAAAAAACTGTGCCCAGTGAAGTTATACCATTGAATGGCAGTGATCTTTAAGGCATGCATGACCCATTGTGTCAGTAGTCGACATGGCTCAGCGGCAATTTATCAAAGGACAGTACATCCATAAAAAATGCTGCTCCGAGCTTCACTATCGCATATATGCCACCAGGAGAGCCTAAACGATTGCCAACAATCCTGAAATCTGATCAGAAAAAAACTCGCCCTGGCGTGTAAATTACATTTGTTGACGTCATAGGGTTCAATATATTTATATTGGCGTTATACCAAACGACTATATGTGAGTTAAGCATACCATAGTACAGTGTTGTCACTCTATGTGGTCAACCCTCCTCTGACTGTTGGTTTGGCACCCTTTTACATTGACCTTGAAAGCAGACTCGCGCTTCTTTTAATAATAAAAAAGCCAGTGATTGTCTGTGAATCTACCATATGCTGGCCACCACTTCATGAAAGAAAGTAATGCATCCCAACGAGTGAAATATGCACACTTATTCTAATAATAGTAAAGAAACTGGTGGTCTGCATGAGGGCGACTGAGTTGGAAACGCCGTGAAGTCCCGTTCATAGTCAGCAATGAAATGGGGCTGGATGTGTGGTGAAAGCTAGATTCAAGGTAAGAAATTGAGTTTCATCTGGGCTTTACATAAAGAAAAACGGGTACACCAACTGTCAGTCCACGTATAAGTTTGTTAGAACCGCAAAAAGGAAAGCAGACTAGAAGGCTATACTGGAAAGTACAGCATATATGCGCAACCGCTGTCTTCGTTCCCGCGCACAGGGTGGAGTTGTCATTCATCCAGTTCAACCTGAACTCAAACAACCGACCTGATGGCCAGTGTGGTGCTGACTTCATGGAGATCAATGGCGTCCGTTACTGCAACCGGCAGCTGGAGGGCCAGATACGTGAGTGGTCTCCGCCCTATGAATTGTTTAATTCCTTGTGCGCGTCAAATATACCAATCCACATTGCACTGTTTTGAAATGACGCTTCTAATTTGGCTATGCTTCTTGTTGAGCAACTTCGTGAGTGATTGAAGACAAGCCGACAGCGTTGAAGATTAAAAAGCCCACGAACCGAATTCCAGACAGGTTAAAAGGGCACACAGATACGGAGATAATAAACTCGTGTCCTTTCAGTTCACTTTCCTAGGAGCGTCTGTATAGGTTCATTGTCTCGCGAGATTCTCACAGTTCCGTTCACTGTCTGCTAAACGCCTCATGTCACACCACATCTCGGCATCTTTTTCGCGAAGTCGGAAAATCACACCAGTGGCGCGAAACAAACTTGTACTGTCGCGCTAATAGGATGGCTGCAGGTGGATGTGCGCCTGCGTGAGACCGATACGCGATCACTCTTTGTGCGTTTCTTTGTTTTTTCTTGCCAGCCAGCATTCGCTTGGCGTCCCCTCAAAGTGTGAAACACATTCATGCAAAAGATAAAGCAGTACTTGTATGCAAAAGGTACTCATTATTGACCTTGAAATTAACTCGACCATCAGCGAAAATGGCATTCCGCTGCATACTTTAGCCGCATGGAGAGTTCCATATCAGTATCTAAACCTGTATTTAAAAAACGCTTTAGACTAAAAATTTTGTAAGATGGTACTTCAGCCACTCATTATGTGAAAGATATAATTTAGAAAGTCGGCTTACCGAACAAATAGACCGATGTATGACTTTAGTTGAAGTAGGCAACGGTCGGCAAACGCCCTTACGAAAGAGCAGCTCTGTGAATTCGGCCCCTGGTGTCCAGCCATACATGTGACATCTTGACCCAGTGCCCTTGAACACTTACTATTTAAAAACAAACGCGTTCAATATCAGAAATGGTACCAATTAAGATCATACCATCAGCGTTGTGCACAATATCTTCAGCGTACAGCGAGTATCAACTATAGTATACTCGTAATACACTTGCCCCTCCCATTTCGAAAACTACAGATAGGATACCAGAAAACTGCATGCTTTGAGCCCATTGCACTGTAGTCAAAGCGCTTTAATAATGCCATACGTGCAGCTTATATATTGAGAGCTTTACCTAAACCCTTTTGAAAACATGGGAGAAAAGTGGTTTTGCCTTGAAAGCATAGCCGCGTAGAGTTGTGGCGAATCACCTTTTTGTACCACTGAAGCGAAGTCGCGAGCACTCACCTATAGCCTATTGTTTAGCCTACGAATGCAGCTATTCTAACCATTTGAGCGCTGGGGTGTGAAAATTGATTCTTATACTCAACGCGTCATTCAACCGGATTAGAGTGTTCGCCATGGGCTATGATGAAAAGGTGGTTTTTGTTACCATCGAAGCACATACACACACACCGGAATACCATGCTCTATGTCATCGCATGATAGATAACATCACTACGTTCTAAGACTGGTTGACCGTATGAAACCGAAGGAGTAAGTTACGCCAGCTATAATGACATCGTATGGAGAGAAGTTCTATGCACCCGGCTAACTACACAATATTTAAAGACAAGTTTTGCAAAGTGAGTAATGAGTGGCGTAGTACAAAATCCTACCACGTGTCGCAAGGATAACAATACGTTCGAATGGTGCTCAGTGCTAAATAGGCAACAAAAGAATTAAAACACAACTCCTGCAGCCACGTTTCGCTCTTCAATATGGTTATATTGGCTTCATACGCCCTCGTAATAGTCGATGTCGAATGCTGTGTCGACCTTAATCTCGAAATTGAACCTCCTTCGTTCATCGAACCCAGGCATCCTGGACTTCAAGGGGCCCCGGCGTAGCGTGACGATGCATTTCATATCGAATGATCATGACGCCGGGAAAGGATTCCTCGGCTTCTACAAACAACTGTCCTGTCCGATGAGGGAAGTAGGTGATGGTGAGTTGCGAATGCTACACGTTGTTTAATCAATGTTATTATTGTTCTTCATCCTTGCAAGTTGCTTGAATCGTTTATTCACGTGAAATTGCAGCAGTACTCGTCACTATAATACTATGCAAACATTCATGAATGTGGAGATATTTAAGTGCCATAAGTCGTGTACTAACGCAGTTGATTTAAGCGCTATAGCTTTATTCATTCAATTTTTTTTCACCCTGTCAATGAGCTTCAAGTATTTTATATAACTTATCACCTAAATACCAGTAAAGCAAAAGACATTGATGGCTTCGAAATTAAACCTATGATGTATGGAATTGATCTACTAGCCCCTCTTCTTTTTTACATCTTTAACCTTTGTCTGCACCAGGCTGTCTTTACCCGCAAAATGCAAGCTGCATGTGTGACGGGGTTATTTAGAAAAGGTAACAAAAATGACATGGGTAACTATTGACCTATATCTAGTGCTTCGGTATTTTCAAAATAATTTGAAAAATAAATTTTAATCGACTTGCTGAATTTGAAGGAAAACATACCGGTATAATACCGTTCTAATTTGGTTTCCACAACCGTCATAGCACTGAACTTGCGTTATTGGCTCAAGAAGACTTAATATTAACAGCACTTAACAGAAGTAAATTAGTCATAGGAATTTTGTTGACTTTACTAAAGCATTCTTTCTTATAAATCATACCATTTTATTAGAGAAACTGTTACGGTATGACTACCGTGACAAAGCGGCACACGTCATAAAATCCTGTCTACAACATCGTATTCAGTGAGTCGACATAAACCAGGATCTCTATATTCCCCTCGTTGTGGATTCAGGCGTGCCACAAGGCAGTATGTTAAGCACATTTCTTTTTAATCCCTGTTGATAATAATAAGATAAACCTTCAGGCAAAATATATAATTTATGCTGATGATACTAGCACCTTTTAAAATAGGGAATTCGGTACATGAATTAACAGATAAAGCCAACTTAACCTTACAATAGTTAGATGTATGGACACATCAAAACAGTTTCTAATTAAGTACAAATGAAACAAAAGCTATGTTATTTCAAAGTAAAAAAAAGGTTATGGTTAATGAAAATATAACGCTTAACTCCTCGCACATCGTCATTGTATCAAGTTTTAAAGCGTTAGGCGTCGTCTTTCAGGAAGCATTATGCTCGCATGCACATGTCGATTGCCTAGTATCAAAGCTCACTCAAGTGATTCATTGGTATTGTTTACCGCAATCGCCATATACTGCCACAGAATCTTATGATGATAATTTTCACTAGTTTGTTTCAGTCGAGAGTTAATTACTGTCATTTAGTTTGGGGCACCAATACTCAAAGAAATCTACACAGAATACAAGTGCTACAAAAAAGTTCTTATGCACAAGTTAAAATGCCCCAAGTCATTTCCACACACGCGAGTATTTCTTTAAATATAGGATACTTCCAGCTACAATACTACATGATTACCATTTGTGTAAAACGTATAAACAAAATTTAAAAACCAGATCAGATTTTCTTAAGTGCCTTTTCAGGTTACAAAAAAAACACCCCTGTATATGCAACACGTAGGAGAAAATACTGAAAAATACCAACAGTGCGAACAACATAAGGAAAACAAACACTCGGAAATAACTTATTAAATTTATTAAAGAGATTCATTTGCGAAGGGCTTCATTTAGGGAACATCTGTTTTAAATACATACACGGTTATTTTGAACTCAAGACAGATATTCTTGAAAAACATTCTTCTGATGTCTATCACTTCTAAATCTTGCAAACGTGTATGTTTTTGTTTATATTGCAGTTTTTTCTTCTTCTTTGTCTCTGCAAAAAATCGCAATTTTGTAAAGTTAGACATTATTGTTATTTTTCTTTATATGTCTTGTCTTATATATTGCTGAATTATGTTGGTTTATTATTACTGCATCGCTGCCGTCAAGTGCCAATGAGGGAGCCAGTGGCCTCGTCAAGCTGTCGTTCAGACAGCTTTTTCTGTCCACTCCTTCGTATCATTCACTGAATTGATGCGAAAAGAAAGTCATTGTCATTGTCAAATGCAACAGTTGCACTCAGAGTAGGCCCGCCATGGTTCACACGACCTGATGTTGGCCTGCCTCGCTTTCGATCAGGACTAATATAGCGAATGAACTTTAAGTATTGATTATCTAATGTGCAATTTCGGAGAATCGTAACCACATAATATTCAAGCATATTTTTCTAATGACGAACAAAAATGCTTGATTCATAAAACGCATAAAAAGACTGTAACAAGATCTCGCACCAAGACCAGCTAGAATGCACACTTGGACCATTAAATTGCAGTATATGTGGCCTAAGAATATCGGTCTGCCACAGCCATTGTTCGCCCTTTTCATTAGCAAAAGTGTAAACATCTGTTGCCGTAGGAAATTTTTCGTGGTAGTAGTGTTGATGCCTTACATAACAGTTTTGTGAAAGTATGCAAGTGAAATTAACGTTATTCAATTCATCTTTATTTTGTGGACAAACAGGCTTTTGTATATATATATATATATATATATATATATATATATATATATATATATATATATATATATATATATATATATATATATATATATATATATATATATATATATATATATATATATATATCCTTGGTATTACTGTCTGTTAGATCTCATTAATATTGTGTTAAAACACGCAAAAAGGAGCCATTAGGTATACACTTCTTTCCCTTATTTCATTAAAACGAGGGTCTCGTACTGGCAGACTTGGTGCCATTAGGTTGTATACGAGGGACTATTAATCAGCTGCCCGCTCATAATGAGTTCACGTGCTACGTGACGCCAAACATGCGTATAAAAGAGTGTTCCACACTCGTCGCTTGGCTTATAGATGGCGCTGACTGACACTCCTACTTCTCAATTCACATATATAAGCCAAAAAAAGTCGATGGATGGAAGGCTGCTGTGATAGCTCAGTGGTTAGAGCATCGAACGCGTTATTCGAAGGTTGTAGGTTCGATTCCTGCTCACGGCTGGTTATTTTTTGATCCACTTTTCTTTCTTCTTATTTACATTCCATTGGTTCTAATAACTTCCCCTGTACATTCATTGGTATTACTGTCTGTTAGATCTCATTAATATCGTGTTAAAACACAGAAAAACGAGCCATTAGGTATACACTTCTTTCTCTTATATATATATATATATATATATATATATATATATATATATGAGATCGATCTATTGATTGATTGATTGATATGTGTGGTTTAACGTCCCAAAACCACTATATGATTATGAGAGACGCCGTAGTGGAGGGCTCCGGAAATTTCGACCACCTGGGGTTCTTTAACGTGCACCCAAATCTGAGCACACGGGCCTACAACATTTCCACCTCCATCGGAAATGCAGCCGCCGCAGCCGGGATTCGAACCCGCGCCCTGCGGGTCAGCAGCCGAGTACCTTAGCCACTAGACCACCGCGGCGGGGCATGAGATCGATCTAACAGACAATATATATATATATATATATATATATATATATATATATATATATATATATAGTGGCTGGGGGGATAGCTGTCGTGGTAGCTCAGTGGTAGAGCATCGAACGCGTTATTCGAAGGTCGCAGGTTCAGATCCTGCCCACGACAAGTTATCTTTTCACCCACTTTTCTTTCTTCTCATTTACATTACAATTGGGGTAATAACTTCCCCTATACCTTTCTTGGCATTATTGTATGTTAGATCTCATTAATATTGTGTACAACACGAAAAACGAGCCCTTAAGTATACACTTGTTTCCCTTATTCATTAACGAGGGTCTCGTACTGGCAGACTTGGTGCCTCTAGGTTGTATATGGGGGGCTATTGGTCAGCTGCCAGTTAGTAATAAGTTCACGCGCTACGTGACGCCAAACAGGCTCATAAAGAGTGTACCACACTCGCCGCCATGGCTACTAGTGGCGCTGACTGACACACCCACGTTTAAATTGACATAGATACCCAATTAGTGGCGGGGGGGGGGGGGCTAGCTTTTGTGGTAGCTCAGTGGTAGAGCATCGAACGCGTTATTCGAAAGTCGCAGGTTTGGATCCTGCCCACGACAAGTTATCTTTTCACCCACTTTTCTTTCTTCTCATTTACATTACAATTGGCCTAATAACTGCTCCTATACCTTCCTTGGCATTATTGTCTGTTAGATCTCATTAATATTGTGTAAAACACGACAAACGAGCCCTTAAGTATACACTTGTTTCCCTTATGTACAAATATATATATATATATATATATATATATATATATATAGGAAATATAAGTTTACGCCTCTAAAAAACTGTTTATTGGTGACGTTTCGATCGGAGACCGATCTTGGCGATAGAGACCATCAGGCGATGAAGATCGCCTGATGGTCTGATGAGAGGATGAAGGTCTGATGAAGATCGGTGTCCGATCGAAACGTCACCAATAAACAGTTTTTTATAGGCGTATACTTATTTTTCTTTAATTCTATGGCAACCGAAGGCAGACTCTTTATGATCTACGTATATATATATATATATATATATATATATATATATATATATATATATATATATATATATATATATATATATATATATATATATATATATATATATATATATATATATATATATATACCAGTAATGTATATACCAGTAATGATGCGCTAGCCTCCTCTTTCTGCGGAGCGGCGAACAAGGCGCGGGGGCCATCATGGTTGCCGCGGTAGTATTTGCGGTTAATTGTTGCCGCGCCACCGCGGCAACAATCAGCGCGCAACTTGTGCCTCCACAGCCGGCGGGAGCCTCTACGGGCTGCGCTCTAAACAAGCAAAAACGGCGCCAACAGTGTACCTGGAGCAACCGTGTCCTCTTAAGGCGCGTTTACACTGGAGAGACGCGACACCAATCTTGGTCTCCCGACAGTCTTTGGGAATGTCTTTTGTATTGTCGTCATGATATTTACACTAGAACGACACAGACAGCCGATGGTCCCTGGAAAACTCCGTCCGTGCCTTGTCGTGCTCAGAGCCTTTCGTTGGCAGATTTTGTAGTCACGCTGGAGGCACACGCAGTGACACCGACTTAACTTACACACCTGCACCTTATTTTCAGCCATGCTCTCTGCTCTGCTATTGTCCCTCTGCGGATATGCAACGCAGCGCTGCCCCCACCATAATCCATGACGTCAAGGAACGGGGTTGGGGATACAAAACAGGAAGCGAAGAAACAACTTCTTTGGGGTGTGAAAAATGCCTATTCAAACGTCGTGGAAGCTTTGGAGGGGGCCTTATCATCTCCCCCAAATTTCCCTCTTGGTGGTCGTTTGAAGCAAAGACATGGGCAAATTTTCGCTCAGCCGCACATCTCCCGACGACACGCCGACGACAGGTCTGCGATGCGCTTTGCTGGTGTTTTCGGTCTGTCATTATGTGACACTTTGACGACATGCTGTTTTTTGAGGCGTCGTCATGTCGGTGGCCTAGATGACGTCGACGGGCGACTCGTCGGCCGATGGTTTGCGTCTGACTCGTGTCTTTGCGGGGTCGTGTCAGTGTCGTGTCGTTCTGATGTAAACTCGCCTTTACATCAGCGTTTTTAGAGTTGTGTGAGATCGGATACTAGCCTTGCTTCATAAAACCTTCGAATATGTTGCTATCGCATTCATTGTTTTGCCCTTTTGGCAAAACTGGCATTTTTTTCTAGAATGGTGGAGTAGTTAGTATGCGTTTGTTCTGCAGCTTTCTTCCTTCCGTCGTATACGTTAATCTGTGCTTTTTTTTTATTGATCGTGCATTTTTCATGACCGCACTTGTGCACTACAAAATGCGTTGATGTATGTAACTGATCCCACAGCTTCTGTTAAGCAAAGCACCAATAAATAGCATTAATTAAACTGTGCCAAGACATTCAATCCACAGATGCCCTCGAAAAGGCTTTATTGAGAATGCGATAATTATGGACAAAGAAAGGGCAACTTTTACTTCGCAGCTTTTCAAGATGCGTTTCCGCCCAGCAGGTGAACTGCCAATAGTGATCTCCGGTCTCTAAGGGTTCATTTCTTGTACTCGATGGTTCGCGTTTTGCATATTTCAATGGTGTCAGAGAACTACGGAGGAGTGATGGTAAGACAGGCAAGACCGCTTTAAAGAGGGTACAGACAAAAAAAATGGTTCTTTTATTGCGTCAAATGAAAGGTCAAAAGCTGAGAAAATGAATTGGTAAGCGTGAGCGCACCTTCAAAAAATTAATAAACGACTTTTTGAAGAGGTTGCTTTGATTCCTACAGATGTCACTACTTGTACCATGTGAAGGTACGTTGTATTGTCACAATATCTAATGAACATGTACCCAGCTTTACCATTGCAGGTTACTGAGCGTTCTCAGTTACCAAGATATTTACGTGGCGGAGTAAACTTTGCTTTGAGAATTGTTGTCAGTGTCTCTTTATGGATTGCAGTTTTTTACATGTGCTAATTGGTCTTCCATTAGAAAAGTGAAGCCTGCATTAGCACGCACGATAGAATGAAACTGCTGGAAGTCTGCCTTGGCCATCTCCGCTACAGCAGGCTGTTTGCGCTGAGGAAGGGAGCTTATGAGGAAAATGCCATGTGGAATGCACTTGAAAATCCGGCTTCTCGTCTCCCACACATACTCTCAGTGTCATTACTACTAATGTGTTGTGACGAATCAAAGTCCAGTAAAGTAGAAGACATCTCCACGTATCTACTTACTGTAAGTATGCTGACAGTTCCCGGCTACCACACTGAGATATGTTGACCCGGGTATTTCCAACATATTGACTTTCGGAGATGAAGAAAACCACACGTGCAATCTGGCAGAGAACGAGAATGGTGCCTTTCAAATTTTGTTGACTCCTTGCAAACCAGTTACGCTCCTTTGTGTCACTCACACAGCATTATGAAAACATAATAAGATATGCTTGCCACAAAAACGCGATAGCAACTCTGTATGCTTCCACAGCCCGGCCTTTTTCATCCCTGGGTGGTAGACCGCCGGAGCTCTATCATCCGAAGCCTTATCCGCATCAGGCTGATTCTCTAGACGTCGCGACGAAACGGCAGCACCAGCCACTCAGCTGCGACCGACTGTACGCTCTCGAAGAGTTCGAGCTGGAGAGCCCCGGCTACCCTGGTCCCTACCGGCCGGGCCTCGACTGCCGGTACTTCATTCGGCGACACAGCGAAGTCGTCTGCGCGCTGCTCGTCACCTTTGATGCCTTCGACCTGGAGTACACCCCCGGCTGCCACAACGACTACTTGGAGTTGGCCGGCCACAAAATATGCGGAACAGTGCCTGCCGGAAAAACCAGTGAGTCCAGTTTACGTGATAGCTTCATTCGCATGGCCACCCGTGTCAAGTATAGCAGAAGTTCCCTGCCTTTATGCATCTTTGCATGCGCAAGCATGGGATGAGGCTAACGTATAGACAAGGGGGGGGGGGAGATATATCAGTGCTGTTTGTTACGTTGCTTGTTACATTAAAAAAAAACGTCCGATAATATTATTGGTCAAAAGCTCAGTACAACGGCCCTTTGAAAAGGTATCAAACTCTCTATACTTCTCTCAGATTTAACGAATGTTGCCTGTGACCAATAAATACGTTAAATTCGGGCAGCTTTTTCTGTATTTTCGTTCTTCTTCCCATTTACTTCACTTTCTTCATAGAGAAATGATGCGGTACAAGGCACAGAGGTTAACACAATGTGGAATAGTCCTTGTTGCTGCCCTACACTTGAGAGAGAGAGAGAGAGAGAGAGAGCTATTTTACTGGGAAGCTGGAGAGGATTGCCTGGTTTTTCCCCTGACAGGCTACTCCAGGTTCCGGGGGATGACAATGATATATACAATGATAAACACACAACACATGCAGTTACATACACGCATAACAGTCTCATAACACATACAGTCACTCACACGCACTGCACTGTTTACAATGTTTCATTCAAGCCTGTGGCTCGTAAGAATGTCTGTAGCGCTTTTGTGGTGTTTAACGCACTGGAGCTGTTCTGCCATGGGCCTAGAATATTTTGAAACTCCAAGTTTGTGTCCTGTTGCATTTTTAAGGCCATCTTCAGAGAATGTCTCTCTGATGCGTATATCGTCCACTCACAGAGGATATGATTGATGTCCTCAGTGACATTACATTGTACACAAAATGCTGAGTCGGGCAATCTAATTTCGTTTCTGAAATAATTCGTATATGCCACGTTTATTCGGATGTGGTGTAAGTGTGTTTCATCTTGCCTGTTGAGATTTCGCGGCATTCTAAAGTGACACAATGGATCGATCTTGTAAATGGCCTATACTGTTGGTTAAGGTCTGTCCAGAAGGATCGCTGGAGGCGCCATGCTTGTGCCAACACTGGCGTTGCTGCGTCTTGCCTCGAGAAAGGTATCTCGACGATTTCTGCTGAAGTGTCATGTCCAGCTTTGGCGGTGTCATCATCACGGACATTGCCTTGTATTCCGCAGTGGGCAGGTGTCCACTGCCGAACAAGGCGGTGATGGATGTCACAGGCTTTTTTGCATAGGCGTTTGATGTTCGTGACGAGTTGGTCCTGTGTGCATAGAGATTTCAGTGACTGCAGCACTGCTCTTGAGTCAGTGAAGATGACCCAGGATTCGGCTGTCTGGTCCACGATGTAATTATTGGCAGCCCGCAGTGCAGCCTGTTCAGTGGCTGTAGATGAGGTACAGTAACTGAGAGTAGCAGAGATGGTGATATTGACAGATGGAATCCAGCCGCCAATGGCGGATGATGTAGACGTAACAGAGTCGTCAGTATAAATATGATGATAAGCTCTGTAGCATTTTTTTCCAAATGCTCTAGAGTGAAATGTATGAGTGCTGCTCCGGGTGTGCGTCATTTTCTCTAAATTAGAAGTTACGGAGATGACGGAGCAAGCACAATAAAGCGATTCGCACTATGCAGCAGCATGAAGATTTCTTTGTGGATAGCTTTAGCTCAGTTTTAGTTTATTCAGCAATCTTTTTCAATAGTCGTGTTAAAGTACATCGTTACAGTTACAATGATTTATTGTTTTCGTACAATGGCAATTGTCAACGTAGAACGTAATTCAAATTAAAATAACAAGTGTAAAAGATTAAGGTACAGGAGTTAAAACTGTTAAAAAGCAACTTGACGACATTCCTGACACCGAACAGTTTGACCTCAGACACGTGGTCATGTAGAAAAAAAGAAATACAAGCAAATGAACATACAAAATACAAGCAAACCACATGCAAGCAAGCAAAACATAAGCAAGTTTATCAGCAAACTGTAACTGTAGATTGAATATAAAAATCAGCAAACACTGAAAAATATTCATATGGGGGAAGAAAATAAGAAAGAATAGAAGTGAGCCCAAACATATGTAACTAAAACAAAACAATACTGCATAGAAATTGAACGCATAACGAAAACATAATTGCATAAAGTGGTCTTGTTTGTGTATGCACATTTAAGAAAGCAAGATGCACTTCTAATCAAACCGTACATTAAATGTGAAATTGAAAGTGATACTTCATAAACAGAGAGATGATAACAACGAGATCAATTGATCGCATCCATAGATGCTGTCTGGGGTTGCTAATTAAGTATTCCTTCAACTGCTTGTATGTCAACGCATTAGCAGAAATACACTTGTTGTTCAGGCAATTAAAAAAATTTGGCACGATACGCTCAAGACATTTAAGGACCTAATTCGTTTGCGAAAATGGTATGTACCATGTGTCTTTTTTTTTTAATGTTTTAAGGTGTTGCTGATGACCCTCTGAGCTGACATAGTGTGAGAAATATGCTTTTACTCTCTGAGTCATGCAGGTATTGAGCAAACAGATTGAACTCGTACAGTTGTTCTAGTTGAAGCACCTTAAATGTTCTGAATAAGGTTGATGCACGATCGTTGTATGGAACATCTACGATATGTCGTATTGCCTTCTTTTGAAGCCTGATCAATTTCGATTTCATTCAGGAATGAAACCCAGTGCCGAGAGGCCATTATTTATGCTTGATACTGCTGATCCAAGTTTAATAAGAGTTACTAAATACATTGCGGAGAAAAATGTCACAACTATGTAAGAGTCCTAAGCCATTTATTAATGTTGCCTAGTTCATCACCTGTACTGATAACTGATTCACTAATCTTATGTTTCAAATGCGAAGCATTTCTTAGCAAACTTCGGCCACTTTGACCATATCTATCTATCTATCTATCTATCTATCTATCTATCTATCTATCTATCTATCTATCTATTTATCTATCTATCTATTTATCTATCTATCTATCTATTTATCTGTCTGTCTGTCTGTCTGTCTGTCTGTCTGTCTGTCTGTCTGTCTGTCTGTCTGTCTGTCTGTCCGTCCGTCCGTTCGTCCGTACATCCGTCCGCCTAAGACATTTAGCTCTCCTGGCTGTTCCCCTAATCGCGATCTTTACCTAAATTGGTGTGGCACAACATGATTGTATGACGGGCGTGCGTGACTAGTCATAACATGAAAATCATGACATGAATGTCATGACTTATATGTCACGGTCTTGCTGCTCTTGCGGTGGTTTCGTTCACATGACATATTGCGAAAATGGTATTGCATGATATGACTGCATAGCGAACATACGTGATAGGCCCTAACGTGTAAATTGTGATATGCATGTCATGTAAGTCATGACTACACTCATTATGCGCTCAGAATTATTTCGCTAGCATCACATATACCAAATATATGACTGGTGCAAACGTGACAATCATGACATGCGTGTCATGATTGTCAAAAATCATGCCTACGTGCTACGCTCATAGTGCGCTCGCTGCCATTTTCCTAGCTTCACACATACCAAACTTGATATTACGTGACGTGAAGGGATTACGAAAGCATATAACTAGTGGAAACATGATAATTATGTAATGGGTGTCCCGTAAGAACCTGATTACATGCTACGCTCTTGATGCGCTTGCGGCCGTTTCGCTAGCCTCGCATATACCAAGTTCGGTATTACGTGACGGGATTGGACGGTGAAGGCAAAGGACACGTCCAAACGTAATAATCTTTATATGCCCCGCCACAGTGGCGTTGTGGCTAAGGTACTTGGCTGCTGATCTGCAGGTCACTGTATCGAATCCCGGCTGCGGAGGCTGCATTTTTGATGGAGGCAAAAATGCTGTAGGCCCATGTGCTCAGATTTGGGCGCACGTTAAAAAACCACAGGTGGTCGAATTTTATGAATCCTTTCACTACTGCGTTTCTCATAATCATATTGTGGTTTTAGGCCGTTAACTCCGCTTATCAATATTAATAACTAATGCTACGCTCATGGCGCGCTCGCGGCCGTTTCGCTAGCTTCACACATACCGAATTTGGCATTATGTGACGTTAATAGATGACGAACATAAACTCCAGGCGCTAACTTGATAATAATGACATTTAAGTCATGTACGGCATAATTTACGTCCGCATCGTAACGTTGGGTTGATTTTAAAGTGTCATATCAACCTTCCTCATTCGCGCTTTGCATATCATCAATTCCCACTGTGCGTGGGATCTGCCTTTTTTCAACTGAAATGTACTAAATATTATAAGAATTGAAATACCTAAAGGGCACACACAAAAGAACTTCTTGCCATGCGTAGGGGTCGTAACTTGAAACTTTGGATCAAATGTAAAGTGCTTTATTGTGCCATGTGCCTAAAGTGAGGGTTACACACTCACCGTCAAGGCTGCGAGTGTTCCGTCCCTTCTGAGAACAAGCTGTTTTTTTGTCAACTTTAACTACTTTACATTTACGTCACAGCTACTTAACAGCTAAAACTTGCAAATAATGTGCGCTATGTATTACTTCATTTCAGTGTGTTCTACCTTGATTAGGTTGGGCCTAACAAAACTACCTCACGAATGTACAACTCTGATTCAGCAACAAGTGCTATCACGATCCTAAAACATCATCTATAAATACAGATAGAGCGAACAAAACTTATATACTGGCCCGTCCAACGAAAATACAACAGCATTTTTAACAAATAGAAAACGTAAAGAGAATAAGTAGGGTAAAAAATGATCAGCACGACTCAACCCTGTGCGGTCCTAATAAGGGAAAAGTTTAGGGGAAGATGAAGGATTGAACAAAAAAAATGTCATTGGCTCTAGCGTCTATGTAAGTACAATTGTCTTTGTCAATGATACAAGGGCTCAGTGTCCACCTTCACGAAGAGGTGTCGAAAATCTGGCGGCAGCGGCACAGCCTATTTCATGATCTCTCTCACACCACACGATGTCTTACAAGGTAACTCTCATTCTAAATCACGTTACAACTCCGCTGTGCGCAAGTGCAAACTACATACGTTCTGCCGAATGTTATTATTTCCGCGTGTCTCTTCATTCGGACCACCAACGCTTGCTTACAAAACTCTTTTGCGCGAATGGAGCAGCACCAAACAATCTCATACAGCTCACCATGCACGCTAAAGTCTGCAGTCAAGGGTCACCTAAGTCAGTTTTAGCCCAACATCTCCCTGCACCTATACATCTTTAAATGTCATCAATTTGAACAAAAAGGTGTAGATTCTGCACATCTTATAGTTATTAAAAAATGACATGGCGGCTGTAGACCTGCCTGCCTACGAAAAGTTGAATTTGATAGGACGTGCTCGTAAACTGTTCTTTTTTATTCCTTCGCAGAGCAAGTGCCACTGCGAGACTTTCAAACCACATTCAGGTTCCACTCCAATGAAGCAGTGGAAAACCGAGGATTCATGCTCCGCGTGCGCCAGGTGGCCTGTGGAGATGACGGTAGCGGTGGTTCACTCTATGACAGGGGCTCCTCCCCGCCCCAATACCCACACCACCCAACACTTGGAGTGGGAGGCCCGACGTCTGCAGGCGAGCATCCACTGGGGACAGCCTTGTTTGCACCATCCGGGGATCCGACATTCTACCCACCCTCTAGAGGCCTTTCAGGTAGACAAATAATAGAACGTCTTCTATAAGCTTGAGAATTCATGCGAGACAACGTCAAGTACATATGGCACAGCTTATACGAGACATCCAGGACGTTTCATGCAATGGGCTAGTTTCCTGACTCAAGCTCTAGCTAAGCCGCACAATGAATTAGGATCTTTCTCACCTCAGGGTTGAATAAAGATGATGGAGTAGAGAGTGGGAGGTCGTTAACTAGACTTTGTTTTTTTACTGTGATTGTGGAGGAGAGGTTGAAAGGAAGACAGAGGGAAGACACGAGCTTTCGACCATTCACTTACACTAAGCATGCGCGGCACCAGATACAGGCTAGCGTACAAGTGTGTCACATTCACCCTCTCGCACGACCTTGAACGGATTCTCGGCTACTAGTCATGAGGTCATGTATATTTAATGGCCTTTGCTCTTGGTCATAGGCGATTATCCGGCCGGACCCGGTATGATGGGATGTGTCAAGATAGTGCCAGCGTCAGGATATGCGGTAACTAAATTAGGCTGGTTTACATAGTGTGGTAATGAGAAACCAGAAAGTATGTGGCAGAGAAAGATACAAGCACGGATATCAGCACTAATTTGCTTGAGAGCAGCGATTTGCCGTTGTTCGAGTAGTGAAACCAAGTTTGTGGCTTAACATATTTTATGAGCTTGCTCCTTAAGCACCGGCGGCAAGCGAACAGGGCCTGCGCGGAACGCGCACAACAGTGACAGCGAAAGCTGGAAGAGAAGCCTTTCAGAGCCTTTTTAAACGCTCTTTGGGTAACTGCCACAGGCTCGCTTGCTGTGTACACACTACGTCAAAAATCATTTTTATGTAGTAGGCCGGCATTCACTATACTATCCTTCGTCATTCTTCGGAGATTACACACTTGCATAGAATTTTCTCCGAACTCGTTAACCAGTGGCTGACGACGATGAAGAAGTATGCCTGAAGTGCATGTGTGCCACAGTTATTAGGTGATCAAGAACAAGCTTTTGCAATGGGTTGGAGCATTGTACGACCCACTCGTTACGTAATTCGCGTAGTCTGACGCATGGTTGTTCTTTAGCTGTTCTAAAACACTTCATTACTCATACTAACGCGATTCCTTTCCCCACATCAAGCCTGCATAAGGCAAGTTTGGAACGGAGTTTCGAGCACCGGCGTGGCTCTGTGGTAGAATGCTGGGCAGGCACGCAGGGAACCCAGGTTCAAATCTCGCTGTGTGCTTGGTGTTAATATTGCCGCGCGTATGTGCCAGTGGCGAGGACAACGAAGCAGCGCGAGTGTTCTTGGCCGAGGGCAAAAGACGAAGAAGTCGTTGCAGTCTGTTTCCTGCGATTGATAAATCGTATTTGTTGGAGGCGCTTTGTGTGCTCGTCAATCTCGCGTCATCACACTGGTGAAAGTGCTGGGTACGTCTTCATGCTTGGCACCCCTTCGCGGACCCGACATCCGAGCCCCGAATCACTACCACCCGTCGATACACCAATCCACCATTCCAGCCGCTGTCTGCGAGGCCTAGCTCCCGAGCTCAATCTCTTTCCAGAAAGTGCCAGAAATCGCTTACCTCCTTCAACCACCATGGCCACTGCAGCTACATCGTACATCACACTTCAGAATCCCATGATTCCTGACTGCTTTCATGGTGAGACCTATGGAGATGCACAAGACTGGCTGGACCAGTTCGAACGCTGCGCGAACTACAACCAGTGGGCCACTCCAGAAGACAAGCTCGCGAATGTGTACTTCTACCTGAAAGACAACGCCCAGACGTAGTACATTAACAGGGAAAGAAGCATGGCTACGTGGGACGACTTCCGCAACCAGCTGATCAACACCTTTAGTAGTCTTGACAGAAAGGACAATGCGCAACGTCTCTTGGAAGCTCGAATTCCAAAACCAATTGAGAGCGTCGCTATGTACGCCGAGGACATGACCCGTCTTTTCGGCAGGGCGGATCCAGAGATGCCGGAAGACAGGAAGCTGCGGTATCTAATGCGAGGCGTGAAGTAGCAACTGTTTGCTGGGCTTGTGAGAAATCCGCCAACAACAGTAGCTGAGTTCACGAAAGAAGCCGCCGCTATTGAAAGGGCCCTACAGCAACGGTACCGCCAGCAGAACCCGGTCAACGTTCGAGCGAGTAGCCCTGTTACGACTGCGGCGAGCCTCTGCGACAACGACAGTCCTCTGCGGGAAGTCATCCGGGAAATTTTGAGGGAGGAGCTTCGGCAGCTTGGTTTGATTCCAGCAACTGAACCGACGCCAGCGTTGTCTTTTGTCGCTGATGATGTCCGGGATGAGGTCCGCCAGGCTCTCTCTTCATCCGGCTATAATGGCGTGCAACGACATTTTACTTATGCTGATGCAGTCCGACGCCCCGTTGTCGCGCCATCAGCACAGCAGACTCCAATGACTGGACCACCACCAACCCTGCAAACACAGCCGCTGTCACCTCCGACGACTTTCCCAACCGCACCAATCTCGCCGACAAGACGAATGCCATTTAGCCAAAATGTGAGGCCCACAGCGTGGTTCAATACTGAGTCCCCATTTACCTACCAGCGTCGGAAAACCGATTTGTGGCGTACCGCTGACAGTCGACCGGTATGCTTTCATTGTGGCGAAGCCGGGCACGTTTACAGAGTTTGCCGTTATCGCGACGCTCAGTACCCGATATTTCCTCGCTACCATGATTACGCTACGTACGACGATCGACGCACGAACAATGACACTCCTATGAACACACCGCCGCTGAATCCAATGAGGCCCGGGTCACGTTCTCCATCTCCTGCGCGGGGCACTTCACCTAATCGTCGCAGTTTTGCCGACGTCACCAGGGGCAGGTCCCCTAGCCCGCGACGGGGAAACTAGACGCAGCGACCTCGGGGGGGTGGGGTTGCCATTAATTGAACTTCCGAACAGCCCCCATCGCAGACATATAACAGCTCGAAGCCACCGATGCCGAAGACGACGACAGCAATGACTAATCCGACGAATGGAACAACTGCCGACGTAACCGACGCTATCAGCGCTAACCTCGTCGTTCACATTGATGGCCACCAAGTGACAGCTCTTGTGGACACCGGCTCCCACTTTTCTATAATAAGCCTGCAGCTAGCCGACAGACTAAGGAAGGTCAAAATGCAATGGCAGGGACCCAATATAAGAACTTCAGGAGGTCAGTTGACTACACCGGTTGGAAAGCGCACGGCCCGACTCTTCATCGCTGGCTCCACCTTTGTCGCCACCCTCGTCATTCTTCACGAGTGCTGTAAACAGCTCATATTGGGAATGGATTTCTTGCGTGAATACGGGGCTGTGATTGACATCCGTGACAGAAGCGTAACGTTCACTGTAAGCTCGGAGACTGCTACAGATAAGGAACACCAGCCACCTTGCTTCCGTATTGCCGATGACGACGTCATACTGCCGCCACGAAGTTGTTCCCTCGTATCCGTGCACTGTGACAAGTTACAAAACGGTACTGGTATCGCTGAACACATCAAGGAGCTCGCATTCACTAGCGGCATTACTGTTGCCAGGGCTGTCATTACTGTTATTGACGGATGCGCTGAACTACTATTGACGAATTTCAGCAGAGAACGTCTACACAAAGTTAAAAGCACGGCTATTGCCTATTTTGACGAACTCTTGCAAACAGAAGATTGTAATTTAGTGGAGGAAGCAGCAGCGTCTACTATCACTACAACGACACCTGTCGACGTTGGTCCAATGTTATTTCCCATTGAGCGAGACCACCTTCTCACGCTGATCAACAAGTTTCACGGCTGCTTCTCATCCACATCTAGAGTTGGTCAAATGGCACTGACGAAACACCGCATCATCACGGATTCCGACGCCAGACCCATCCGGCAAAATCCTTATCGAGTCGCCCCAAAGGAGCGTGAGGCAATTCAAAAACAGGTGAAAACGATGCTAGAAGATGGTGTTATTCGGCCATCTAACAGTCCTTGGGCATAACCTGTAGTACTCGTCAAAAAGAAGGACGATAGCTTGCGTTTCTGCGTCGACTACCATAAGCTTAATCAGATCACAAAGAAGGACGTCTACCCTCTGCCGCGTATGAATGATTCATTGGATAGACTACGAAACGCACGCTACTTTTCGTCTATGGTGTTTCAGAAGGACCAGAGAGACCGCAGAACCGATACGTCTTCGGTTTATTGTTGACAGAACAGGAAAATAAAAAAAATATGCAGAGCGTGACCCTGGCTACTTCTTGTTCTTCGCCTCCGAGCTCCATCCTCCATCTGTTTTCTACATCTTCCCGCCGGCCAGATTCAACCGAAGTAACCTTCGAGCGAATACAACAGTTGAATCGGCCTCTTGACTAATTTTCCTTCAGGTGTACGAAGCAAGCATGTTCTCACCAGTCCATCCTTGCCTGGGAAAATCTTTTCGACCTTGCAGAGTTTCCACTGAGTTCTTTTTTGCGCTTCTCCAAGCAGAAGTACATCTCCTTTTTGTACATTTGTGTGACGCTCTGTTTTTCTGCTGGCACACTTAAGCCCCCTCAGGTACTCATTTTTCCATCTGGTCCACCATGTTATCATTGCCCGTTTTCTTGCACTCCAGTAATCCAGCAAACTGTATTCTCCGAGTCTGTTTTCTTCCTGCTTGTTCATTACTTGCCTGCTTCCTATAACGTCCGCTGGTGTGATGGGTTGTGGCTCGTTAGGATCGTCATACACATAAGTAGGAGGCCGGTTGTTAAGTACTCCTTCTGCTTCAACAACCACAGTTCGTAGTTCTTCTTCATCCAAAAGTCGAGCACCTATAATTTTTTGCCATGGATGTCTTAAAGCTTCTGATCAGTCTTTCATAAAATCCTCCCCACCATGGAGCTAACTCTACAACAAACTTCCATTTTATTTTCAGGTTACTGGTATACTGTTGAACCCTTTCATCTTTCATCTTTAATATCTTGTTCATCTCTTTCTTAGATTTCTTGAATTCTCTTGCATTATCACTGTAAATAGTT